GAGCTCTACTACTAGACTGGCTGTTGAAAATCGTATTACTTTTACATGTACTTGGTGCTTTCTCTCTGCCGCAATTCTCTTGCGTTCTGGGTGTATATTGTGTACATAATATGTGTGTGTGTGCTTTGGTAAGAATTGATGTTGTTACCTTTTTGCATATCATATATTATAATAGTGTTCTTGTTTGTGTTTTTATCCTGGCATTACGAGGAGCATGCTTTTGTAGTATAAATATACACAACAACAAGATATTGTATTCCAAAATTGTTGTTCGATATGTATCTTGCAGAACAAATTAATAATTTAATATTTGGATATACATGTATTTACCATTTATGATATATATACATCTCTGCATTTTATGATGCTCTGCTTGGTAGATCATATCCTGCATACATAGGCCAATGTAGCTTCATTCGTTTCTACGTTTCCCTTGTTTCATTCAAACTCTTTTGTTTTTCAAATAGTCTTCCTCCAGACATTCAAACGTTTACAGAACTGTTTTATTCGTGCTTTTTACCCACACTTCTTTTTACTTTTCAACTACAAATGTATAGTCCTTCCCTTTATCCTTTCTTCTCGTATCAATTTTAAGTAGTTGTTTCCATTGCAACATTGAAAGAAGGCGAATGAAGGGTCCAGATAGTTCGTACTTTCTTACTGTACCGTTTGTGTCCGACATTTTACTTTGAGGTGTTGGCTGATATATACCCCCCCCTCCCCCTCCCCCACCCCCTTTACGAGCATGACTTCAGTCAGTGATTATAAATACTTTAGTGACGAAACCAAATCAAAATACTTTATAGGTTTCACATGTAATTCAAAATTTTAAGTCACTTAGCGCCTATAAAAAACGGCTGTTAAATTATCCTAATGTGTCTTGTCAGGAAGAATAAGGAGTTTATGTACCCACGGCATTGTTACAGCAGATAAAATTGGCTGCCAAACTGTTTCTTGCATACGTTCAACTTTTACTATAATTTTATTATTATTATTATACTATTTTTATCTCCAAGGCGTCTACAATTATTTTTAAAGGACAGCCAAATGCTAGTGTGATAATACTTAAGATGTTTTTGTGCTGTAAAGCATAGACTTTTATACACTTCAGGTTCATTTACAAAATGCTGCCGGCCGCTATCAAAACGAGCAACCCTGTTTCTTTGTTTAATTTTCCTTGTACTCTGGACTTTTTCTTCCAAGTTCTTTGTGGCTCGATATTTGATTAAGAAGATTATGAAGCAGTATTGCATCAAAGCAAAATCAGAAATGAGGTTCAAAAATGTTTTTAAAACTTTATAATCGAAAACAGGACAGGGTGTACATAATTGTGCTTTGTATTAGAAATTGTCTTTCTCTCGTATGCGTTAGAAAAGGCAGAGTTTGCCAGTATTATACTCTTTTTTTTTTATAGATCAACATTTCGTTTTTACTTTGTGTGCTCTTATTCATACCCCACTAACAGATAATGGAGACTTAAAATCTTTATGACTCTATATATCTCCTTGATAATATGTAGGACAGTAACTGCTGACAACAAGCAGCAAGTAAGGAGTAACATTTTGCAAACAGTTGCCTAGTGCGGAGGGCTGTTTAAGTAACTGGACATTTCTTTTTAAAGAGAAATAGGAATACTGACCATTCCATCAGAAGTTACAGTCAAATGGTTTGAATACTCAGCATTCAGTTGAGGTGTGAACGCGTTGAGCAAACACATCAGATTCATCAGGTTTTTCCTGATAATGCAAACTTTTTGTTTGTTTTGTTTAGGCAGTAAAGCACGTTTGTATCCGATTTCTATATATTAATTACTTGTTTTTTTATATTTGTTAGAAGGATTCGAGCTAAGGCAATTGACCATTTTGTAGAAGATGTTAAGAATGTTTATGGAGACGTGAAAGAAATCGATTTTTCAGTAGTTGTGTTTTCCGTATACTCCTTGTCAAGCTTCTGGAATATACTCCCTTATATCTTCGTGTTTCCTCATATTATATTCCCCACTGTAGTTCAGTACTATTTGGAGCCTTTAGATGCCAGAAATGCTGAATCCTTTCTTGAAGTCATAGCTCTAGATCCGATTGCTGAAAAAAAACCCAAAAAAACGATGCATCATTTAGAAATTTAGTGAATCTTAAACCTTATTGATCTAGTTGTAGCCTAGTCTAGAAGATTAGAAAACCGCCAGTGCCCAGCGAGCTTACGTCACGCTAACCCGCCAGCCCGTAACACGTCAGACCTCTCGTCTGCGGAGTTTAGGGTACATTATACTCAGTGGTTTGCCATGCTGTTCCTCTAGATGGGGTTGTTTCCCCTTGCTCAGAGGTCCCGTTTTCCCTCTGCCTCACGGGGCGGAGTCCATTGTCAGCGTAGTGGCCGCTTTTTATTTTGTTCTTTAGATTTTTGTTTTTTTTTAATTTTCTAGAAGAAATGTTTGCCTTATTTTTTATTCTTGTTATTTCTTTTGGAACTTTGGAAAATGAATACCTTGATTTGAAAATAACACTTCTGACTCCTACTTGTTTAAAGTAACTTTAAACAATCATTTTTAACAGAAAAACGTATTCCCTCTAAGCCACCTATATTGGTCTTATTATTGACGTTTCTTTGGGCAATCCGTCTTGGAATGGGAGTTACTGTTCTTTTCCATAATGTATTACCTATATCCTAACCTGTGCCAGACACACAATCAGATGAATGCATCTGGATTTTGGAATACCACTCTGCATTGGCTATGGATTAACTTGACGATGTCTTCTTAATCTTTCAGTTTATTTTTGTCTGTTTTGCAGTACACTATTATTTGTTTTGAAAGAAGTTTCACTATCTCATTTTAGGCTGTTTTGGTCGCATTATTCATTGTTCATTCTCTTTTCACACATCCCCTCATACGCTAACAGACCAATCATGCTGTCATTGTTTTTGTTCACCATAACTTTTCAGACACTTACTTTTCATCGTTCGAAAAAACGCATGCTTTATTTGTTGTACATTCGCAGGTTCGGAAGAATTCCATAAGTGATCTATTAAGATTTTGTCAAGGAGGGTTCCGTATTTATCGCACTCTCCTCCACCTCCCCCCCTCTCTCTCTCTCTCTCTCTCTCTCTCTCTCTCTCTCTCTCTCTCTCTCTCTCTCTTGCGCGCGCGCGCTTTCTCTCCCCCTTTCTCTCTTTCTTCCCTCTCTCTGTTCTCCCTTTCATTCTTAACTATCTATAAAAGCATGTTTTTTTTGCATTTATCCCACAGTCTCAGATTTTCTTCCTTCAATCTAATCTATCAGCATGTGCTGGAGAGAACAGGGGATCTTGTTTTTGGCGGGGTCGTTAAACATGTAATTGTGCTTTAAAAAAACAACCAACATCTCAACTGAAATTGCTAGGGTAAAAACCCTTCTTGGCAAAGTCAAGATAGATCCTCTTATGATTAGTTTATATGTCTTTGGGCTTAATTCGTAACCCTTTGCGTATGGATGCACTGATGACCTAACGGGACTTAATTCATTGTTAAAATCAGTCTTTTTTTGGTGGGGTGGACTTTGGCAAAGGAAGATGAGTTACCTAAAGTTAATCATTACTTTGTATGAATAGGACATTCCAGTTTACACCCAGTCCCGTCATCAGCGCTCTCCACCTGATGGGTTATGAATTAAGCCCTTTCATCATTGCACATCAGCATGCCACAACGGTTCATGGGTCTTACATTGAGGTCTTACAATGCATGATGCTCTCACCTGCCATTGCTGAAGTGCCTCGAGGCCAGGGGTTTTCTTTATGTCGCGACACCAGAACTGAATGGCTGAACAATACATCGATGACAGTTTGCTCGTACTCATATGAGCAAAGCGTCTTTGCGTCCTGATATGTCGGTCATGTCAACGAAGGTGGGGGGGGGGGGGGGAGAGAAAACAATTGAACCCATCTTTTGGGTGATACCATGTACACCCGAGATGAACAAGACAAAAACTAAACGTAAAAGGGAAAGGATTTATAAGGAAATTCAAAGTTAGTTATTTAGGAAAACCTCTGGCCTCGATGCATTTCATAACTCGCTCATCTGCCAGTCAATGTAAATCACCTGATCTTGCCACTTGCATCGTTGGTCCATGGGAAGAATGCTTATGTCTGGTCTAATCTGTTGCATGCAATTTTTTTTTCCTCCCTTATTTTTCATTCACTGCATGTCGTACCGACGGGGCTCTCAACTCTTCGTTGTTCGTCCTCGACTCGGGATTTTAGAACTTGGCGGCTCAGATCAAGGGATATCAAACCCGCGTGAACGAGATACAGGAGAAGAGCCGACAGTTGTCTCTGGACAGCGCTCAGCTCAGTCCCAGCGTGTTCCGCAAACATTATCTGCCCGAGTCGGCCTACAGCGACTTCTTCTCGGCCACCCAGCTCCAGCAGAGAGCGGCGTCCCCTCTCCCCGCCACCAGCCCCTTGTTCTATGAGACGATGCCTCGCTACGAGTCTCAGTCGCCGAGATCCTTTGACGAGGCGCCGGTCTCGTCTGCGAGAGAACGTCGTGGGGTGGAGGACCCGCCTAAAACTGTGAAGTCACGAATAACGTCTCTGAGCGACGCCCCGACCTCTAAGACCCTACCTTCGCCATTGTTGAAGAAACCGGATAAAATTCCAAAGCCCATGTGGAGCCAGGGGGTCCCGGGTTCAGATCTGACCAAAAACTACCAGACAATAAGCTCTCCCTCTGTGTCTCAGAGTTATGATAGTACCAAACAAAGCTCTAGAGATTTTGACCGTACGGAATCTCCGCCCCACTCTGCCAGGAGTTACACGACGCCACCTTCCTCGGCGAGGTCTGTAGACAGCCAGAATACTGTGACCCGCTACGGTAGTCCCTTCAAATCAACATCGCAGACCACTGAAAAGGGGCCTTCAGTCTCCCAATCGTTTGACGCTCCAACGTCTTCTAGATCTCTCGAGACAACCAGTTTTGACAGTGGGCTGGACAGCGCAGCGAACGTCTCCTCTTCCTACACTCTCCAGTTCCACCCAAGCCCCTCCTCCTCCATCGCATCAGTGGCAGAAAAACTACGAGCGTCCAGCGAACGTCTGTCAAAACAGCCGCCAGCGGGTGGTCGCCCTACGGAACTGATACGAATGCCACTGGGTTCCGACCAGTCAGCGAGCCAGCAGTCGGAGAGCATGACATCTTTCAGATCGGACGACATGGACGCCGCGTCGCCTCAGATATCTTTCTCTCCTCGAGGAGCTGCTTCTTCCGCCACCGTGGCAAGCGGCGCCATTTTGTCCTCGCTACCATTCCAACACGGGGTCACGGGCGGCTTAAAGAGTTCGTCAGAGTCCAACCTGTACTCCGGCCGGCCTGGGCAGACGATGGACGCGAGGTCCAGCGAGAGCGCTCATTTCAGCGGCGCCAATGCCACCTCGACACCACGAGAAAAGGTAATTGCCACAGGGACCCTGGTTGTGCACAATCCCAGACTTCCTCAGAGCCCCGGACGTGATCCCTGGGCTGATCTTGAACTTGATCCTCCCACCGTGACCTCCACGCCCCGTAGAAGTTCAAGGACGGATTCGGATGAAACCTTGCAAAATTCCCCCACCTCTCAGTCGCCCTCCCCCCGTCGGCGCTTTGCTTCCAGCTCTCCTGATAAGCTGGGTGGGGGTAACGCCCCTTCTTTGCTACCCTCCCCTCGCGCTGAAGGTTACTCCTCTCCTTCCCGCCCCTCCCCTCGCTCAGAAAGCTCCTCCCCTTCCCGCCCCTCCCCTCGCTCAGAAAGCTCCTCCCCTCGACGCTCTCTCTCCTCTTCGCTCATGTCTCCACGCAAGAAAGCTCACGTGTCCTTCGCAGACGTACCGCCCTCACCGTCAATTTTACGTCCCACTAGCTCCTCCCCTAAATCGTCGGACCAATCACCCGACACTTCCTCCACCACCAGTCGAAGTTCTATCAATCAATATCCGAATCAACCCGCACTCTCCGCCCTTACCTTGTCTCGAACTCGCCCCGAAACTCTGTCCTTCCCATTGAGCAGAACTTCTTCCTTGTTCTCCGCATCTAACGACGATAAACGCTTTGAAGTAACTGCCACAGCCCCCAAAATGTCCTCCTCTTTTGCTTTCGCTTCTCATACCATTGGCTCTAACAAAAAGCAGTCTCCCAGAAGTCCTTTAGGACGTAGTACTAACGCTTCTGGTGTTGGTACAACTCCGTCTAACAACAACAACAACCACAGCAACAACCGCACCAGCTCTACCCCAACTGCTGTTGCTGGTGATGCTGCCGGGAGTGGTGATGGTGCTGGGTCATACACAAGATCGAAGTTTGCAACAACAACAGCAGCAGCAACAGCGACATCTTACAAGAGGTCACAGGGAGGCATTGCACGTGCGGTGGGTGGGCAAAAAGCACTCCTCGTGTGTCGCTGCAAAACTGAGCTATCCACATACCACTAGATATCATAGCACTACCACACCGACAGCGTAAAACCTCTCTCGGTTGGATTGGGCTGTTTTATCTGTATCCACTGCATGTGCATGCGTCACTGTCTATAGCATTTATTAATTTTAGCTTGCGCACGGCTTGTGTCTTTGCATGAACGCACAATTTCATTAACTCGCACAATGTACACTAACGACAAACATATTTTCTAACCCTTAAATTGTTGCAATTCAATCAGTATAAAGGTGTTTTTGGTACGCCTCACATCCCCAAAACCGCTTTCTCTTTCACGCTTCTCTTTTTCTTGACTGATTTGGTGTCCATTTTCGATCGCGCTATCTATCTACCATCGATCACAAACGCATACACATACACACGCGGGCACGCGCGCGCATCCTCACACAAACACACTCATTCTCACACACATACTCACACACACAGACACACACACAGGACACACACACACTCTCACACACACACACACACACACACACACACACACACACATACACACA